AAATCATTACACGTAATATTATCTCATGACAAAAATTATCCCTTACACGATATCAGGGCCACTTTTCACAACGACGTGGTTGTGGATATTGTTGGATACCGACGAAACGGTCATAACGAAATGGACGAGCCGATGATAACTCAACCGCTCATGTATAAACGTATAAAGAATCATCCTAACGTCCTCTCCATATACAGTGACAAGCTTATGAAGGAGGGTGTGATAACGGAGGCTTTCGCGAAAGAGGTTGTCAAGAAATCTTGATAACGATTGCTATTTAGGCTCCCTTCCAACTGTCCAAGAACCTATTGTTATGCCATTATTTTCGATTGTGCAGGAAATAAGCAAGTACTTGAATCATTGCAATGAAGAGTTCAAGAAAGCGACCTCCATCAGCTCGATGCAAATGAGCGACTGGCACGATGTACCTTGGACTGAGTTCTTCTCGAATCAGAGTCCGAAGAATAATATACCGCTGACCGGTATCGACATAGCGACTATCAAGACAATATGTAATGCCATATCCACACCTCCTAACAATATCGAGGCACACGTTCAAGTTAGTTGCAAAATGAATATCATGGGCCAAAGAGTTCTTGTTGAGCAATAACGAAAATGACTTCCTCGCCTCGGAAAAATGATTATATGCATGGAGAAAAATAATTTTGCTCTTTTAGCAAAATCATCGTACTGCGTATTCGTAGTGACATGAAAAAAATTTAGTTGACGTAACTAATTTTACAAATTATTCGTTAGCAGAGCAGAAGTAGTTTCGTTGCCAGGATAGAAAAAATTTGTTGAGCGTATTTGTCCTAAGAATTACGTTAATTTGCTATTGTAGGATGTAAACCGAACTGAGGTAATACTACTTATATTGATTTATTGACAATAAATCAATATAAGTAGACGAGAGAGAGTGTGTTGGAGCAGTCGCCCGGCAAACGAAAGAGCCGCGTTCGAGTCCCAGCAAACTCCGATTTCCGATATACTTTTCTTTCCGACTCTTACACTATTGATGCAAAATAATGTATCCTTAGGAAATTTATCTGCTAAAATTGCAACTGTTTATATAGATCCACCATGGTTCTTACAGCAAAATTGCTGTAAGCAATAAGCAGTTGCAGTTTTGTTCCGATCAAAAGCAAATAAATTTGCTAAGGATACATTATTTTGCATCAATGGTGTAAGAGTCGAAAAGAAAAGTATATCGGAAGCCGGAGTTTGCTGGGTCAGCAAATTATTTTTCTCCGTGCGTAATTATATAAAATTATATATAATTATATATAAATTATATATAATTATATATGATTCATATATACACACGCGCGCGCACGCACATATATACACGCACACACATATACATACACACACACATATACATACATACATACATGCATGCATGCATATATAAAATGTCCTAGACTCTCCTTCGCAATTTTTGTGACAACATAGAACAGACTGAGATGAACATAAAAGTCCTATATTATTTTGCGATATCCGCAAATAGACGAGATATTAATTAAAGAAAATTGAATGATTACGCGTAGATGGGCTATAATGACATCGTCGTAACAAGAAAATTGTTACATGATTGTGTGCGATAATGTACAAATCTTTTTCAATTAATATCTCGAGATTTATTATGAACATCATAAAACGGTGAGACTTTTATGTTCACCTCAATCCGTTCTATGCTCCCATCAAAATTTCAGAGGAGAGTCTGGGACTGTATATATCCTGTATATATGAATTTCATTTCTACAGTGTGTTAAGAAAAAAGTTCAAAACTACTTACAGGGCTTATATTACTGGCTTTTTTACTGGCTGTGTAATTTAAATTGTTATTGTAATATGTCATCGTTTCAAAATAACTTTACTACTGCCAGCAAAGCTGCGGCTCCCAAACGCGAGTGACGCGGCGTTCAACGTGTTAAAAGTCATGAAAGTTGCTCGATAGGTGCTGAGAGCAATGGACAGACGTGCGAAACTAATGGAGGCCCGGCAGGTCGACTGGGCGATGGCGGAATGCATAGCGTATCTTAGCTTATTGAAGGAGGGCCATCACGTAAGATTATCCGGACAGGACGTCGAGCGCGGTACTTTCACTCAACGGATACATATCGTTCATGATCAAAGCATAGACCTGACTTATAAGAATATCCTACACGACGTTTTTCCGGATCAAGCTCTGTACACCGTTACGAATTCTTCGCTGTCGGAGTACGGTGTATGTGGTGAGTTTGCGGAACAGTTAACGCGCCAGTATTTAATTCGCTACTTTCTTAAAGCGTATCAGTAAAAATGTTTCTGACTGAATCAGGATATATCTCGCCGCGATAATCAATGAGTTATTCACTGATTTTCAATAAAAACATTTCTACTTTCTCAGTCAGAACATGTTGATTCAAGGTTGATTCGACATCGATGAGAGTTGAATCAACATTGATTCAACGGCTCATCGATCATTTCGACGTCGAATCAACCTTGAATCAATGTTATGGTTCTGACTAGGTTTATTGCTCCGCTTTATATATCACTGATTTTGGTTAATGGATTTTGGTTAATGTAAGATTTTGCCGCAAAATCTATCGTACACTATTCGTTGTTTTGGTATATTTCGTACCAAATCTAATTTCTTTTGTTTTTTCTTGCGTGGCGATGGAATTAATGGCTTTCATGCGCTTTGTGTGCGATGCTTGTGTTTGTATAAACCGCATCAATAATGATAATTGTTGCCATTATTAACTGATTCTTCCCACGATATTTTACTGCAGTGCTACATTTATAATTGAACCATCAGTTATAAGTATAGTATTTCAGTGAAGAATACACTTATTACATTTTAGACCATAGTACACGCAGAAAAGGATTCAGAAGGAAGTCATGCCTAGCGAGAAATGACTCGCCGATCGACGTCGAAACGATGTCGAATCGACGACGATTTGATGATTTTGACGTCGATCGACGAGTTATTTTTCGTTGGGTGGTAGCTAAGATATTTCTTTGAAATAAGAAATATTTATTTACTGCACTGAGAGAAGAAAATATTTAAAAGCTAAAACATATTTATTCAGTGGTTACTAATGTAACATATATTTATTTAAATTAGTATATAATTTTTATACTTAGAAGATAATCTTTTCTAATAAATATACTTTTTTGCTTGTTTATTTTAAATAAAAGAATATATATTTAAGTAAGTAAATATATCATTAGTAACCACAAAATAAATGTTTTTATTTCAGATATTTTTCTTAGTATATCGAAGCTCAATTTATTAGCCGTTTCGATTCAGGAGTTATATCGAAATAGTCAGAAACAAATATATAGAGAAATATAATATAGAGAAATAGTCAGAAACAAAAATAATGTTTAGTTGAATGCTATTGTAGTTGTATTTGTGTAAAGCTTAGTTCTTTGATGTGAACACAGAAAGAGAAATTATCGTTGTCACATATATACATATGCGTATGCGACATTCGTAGCATATGTGTTAAGTAGAATTGCAAATTTTGAGTAAAGATAAGTTTGAAATAAGAGATCGATGCTTCACATATGTGTAGTACGTCATATACACGATAATATCTATTTACAAAATGAAAAGGCAAACAATCTTAAGAGACAAAAAATAAAAGGTTATTATCAAGTTGGTTGAACAACATTAAGGTGACAACGATACTTAAACAACAGTAATTAAATTAAGTTTATATTGTAGTAAACAAAAAGTCACAATAACTGGTTATTGACAAATTAGTTGATTTTTCGAATTATTGGTGCGGAAAGGATTCGAGTTGGGATATTCGGCGTACAGTTACAACACTCTGACGATCTGGGAAGCACAGTTTGGTGACTTTGCTAATACCTGTCAGGTAATTCTGCTCATGTTTATTATTCGCATTCCTTTTTCTTCCCCAGCAAAAATCTGACCAGTTCGTTACAACTCCCTCGATTCTTACTGCAAACTCTCTTCGTGAATATTTTTTCGTCTTATATACACAGAAAAATATCATTCTACTGCTGAGAAAAGCGATTAATAGTTAAGAAAAGCATCTAACAGTTTAATTTCTTTATCTTGAGTATACAGAGTTATCTTTAATGATAATAATTTCTTGATAATAGTTTTAAAATATACTGGTCACAAATTAAAAAACAGTTCATTTTTTGTCATGAATTAAAAAGGAATATTTGTTTTCTTTATAAGAATATTATAAAATGTTACTAAAGGAAAAGTCCTTTCGATTTTATGTAATGAGCAAACCGCGAATATTTTTAAAATTTAATATTCTTGATTAAAATGCTGAACTTACTGGGAGTCAAACGATCTTTTAATAAATTTAACGTTTATGATAAACTTATTATGCGAATATATTTGCGAATATGTAAGCTTTTGAAATGCTTGAAACAATTAACATTTACTTGAATGCAGTATATATTCCTCTGTGTAGGTCATATTAGACTGCATGCTGTGTTCCGGGCAATCGAAATGGGGCAGGCAAGTGGGGCTGGTTCTGTTGTTGCCGCATGGTCATGAAGGTCAAGGTCCAGAGCACACGTCAGCCAGATTGGAAAGATTTCTCCAGCTGTGCGACGACGATTGTACTCGCCTGCCCGGAACGGAGTCCAACGCTACCACCGGCGAAACCGTCGAGCAGATTATGACTAAGCAACTGTTTGAGATAAATTGGATTATCTGCAATCCCACGACACCCGCCAACTTCTTTCATCTTATACGCCGGCAGATAAAGATGCCGTTCCGAAAACCTCTGGTTCGTTAAGCACGTCTTCACATCAGACTGCGGGGGTGTGATTTGTCATCGATTTGTCTCGTGTAGAAACGCACATTCCTCGCAATATGCGAATTAATTTTCCAAGGAAAACAATGTGTGTTGTATTTTCGAAGTTACTTGGAGTTAAATACACTTGAAAAGCAACAGTAATATAATTCATATGCGGGATGCCTGATAATTTATGATACACTCGTGAACTCATCAAACTGAATATAAAATTCCTTTATTATTTCGGGAATAATCACGTAAAATTTTGAGTTATTAATTAAGAAAGATCGATAAATGATGCGCGATATGGTAGATGGCGACGTTTACCATCTCGTATATTAGATAAAAAGGACAAAAAATCCTCTACTAAATGACTAAAAATCTATGTAGTTATTTGTAAAGTGATAGAGAACTTTCTGTTCAATGTGCTATGAATTATTAGACAGTTTGTAAGGAATTCCCACTCTTCACTGGGAAAAAATTGAGTAAAACAAATTAAGTTTCTGAGTTGAATAAATTTAGTTGCATCAACTACAATCAAATAGAATTAAATAAAAATTGAGTTTGTTCAACAATCTGGGGATATTATGTAGAAATTTCAACTAAAGTATTTAGTCAAAAGTAAAAAGTTAATAGAAACTGAAATATAGTTACACTTATTTATATCAATGTTCCCGAATTAATTTTCAAAAATATTAATCTCTAAAAATTGTCGCGTAGTATATAAGTGACTTCGGTTTTAGGTTATTATGAGTCCCAAATCACTATTGCGCCACGCAATGGCGATATCAAACTTTGAGGAGATGGGACCGGGCACGAGTTTCAAGCATGTTATATCGGATCCTTACGTGCAGCCGGGAAACGTGAAGAAGGTATTGCTGTGTTCCGGCAAAGTGTATTACGATATAGTCATCGAGAGAAAGGAGCAGCAGTTAGAGGATAAGATAGCGATTATCAGAATTGAGCAATTATGTCCGTTTCCTTATCATCTTTTGGCGATGGAAATCGCGAAGTATCCACGAGCAAAGGTGAAAACTCTTTCTTTGATTTGGCAATTTAACGATCGTTCTTTTCGGAATTGAAAAAATTGGAGCGAGTAATGGAACGTAAAGAGCATAAGAATAATAATATCTTAAATTTCTTACGTAAGATTAATCGCGTTATCGTTTGTACAGATCATGTGGTTGCAAGAAGATCATAAGAATCAAGGTGCCTATTATTACGTGAGAGACAGGATAGCTTTAGCATTGGGAATTCCCTTGGAGGATGTGAAGTATGGCGGCCGGTCCACCTCAGCCGCGCCAGCAACTGGCAGCAAGATTATTTATAAAAAGGAGTACGACGAAATGATGGCAATGGCGATGAGTCTCGATTAATCACACGCGGTATTTTTCAACGAGACTGCCACGGCTTCTCTTCTAAATTTATTGGAGTGAGATTACACTCAAAACGGTAGTAGAAATACTGTCATTTGGAATGGCAAAAGTTTTATTCAAACTTGAAGTAAATGGTTACTCCACACGAGTGAACGTTTTAATCGATTAGAGTAAATTTGTTCCTGTGACGGTAGAGATAAGATATTCACTTTCCAGTTTTCGAATAAAGATATTCTTCCGATGATTTAAAACGTAGAATTCATTCTACATGAGAAATCGCTTGAATTTGAATAACTCGGTTGTTGTTCATTTTCCGAATATGATTTCATTTCGAAGAAAGGACCCCGCACAAAACCTATGGAAAATGGTTCTCGGTCAAATTGGCTAAAATTTCACATGTTATATTTTTCGTCATGCTGATAAAAAGTTATCATTGCACCAAGTCCCAAAAGTCAATATTTCCCAAGATATAAAGGGTCAAAGTAGTGAAATATGGTCATCCGCAGTAGTAAGACGTATGTTATAAGTATAAGTAATATATTGATATTTATTCACGAAATAAATAAAAATCGATTTTTACACACATATATATATATATATATATATGTAATAAATATTTAGTTCCGCAATATATATGTATATGTATATACAGGGTGGGGCAAAAGTATCGGACCGGTGAAATATTTCGAAAAATATCTCGATAAGTAAGTTTTACAAAAAACTGTTTCAGGTCTTAAAAAGATCTATTGTATTTACTGATTTTAGCAGATTGATCTTGGGTGGCGTTGCCAAGGTCAAAAATCAGTTGTTTTCACGGCTACTCACAATCAGTTTTGATTTTCAGTAGCTGTGAAAACAACTGATTGTGAGTAGCCGTGAAAACAACTGATTTTTGACCTTGGCAACGCCACCCAAGATCAATCTGCTAAAATCAGTAAATACAATAGATCTTTTTAAGATCTGAAACAGTTTTTTGTAAAACTTATATTTTTCGAGATATTTCACCGGTCCGATACTTTTGCCCCACCCTGTATATACATATACATATATATTGCG